AATTTGTCGCCTCCCTGAAATTGATGTTGTTTTGACAAAAGTAAGTGGTCGTCTGAAATCCACTTAAACATTTTCGCTTGCTCGGTAATAACTCGTTATGTATACACATCTCAAACTTTGATCATTGACCGATAAACTAGAACGCACATTCACCAAGTGTGAACATTTTTCTGTTTACCCGTTCACCTTTTTAGTTAACATCACACACAAGAACAAATGAATGTTTTATCCAGATTACAGCCTACCAAATTCTATTCACAGTTGGAGATTACACAAAACGTAACATAAAATTTTCATGACATTCCCAACTACACGTAATCAGCATAAAACATGATGCGATTTCAAATGAATTTACATTATTGCAGAAGCTATCATTGGTGAATCTTGTGTGACAATTCAGAGTAGATTTCAGTTATTAGTTGAATGCTTGAAGAATGATGGAAATGGAGAGGGTAATTCTGGAGTCACATGGAGAATGAATGTGATAGAACTAATTGCATTAGGTTCTCATCAAACGTCACAATTTGAAAGGAAAATAGAATTTTGTTGTTGGTTTGGTATATTCTATCGAAATCAACTCCATTGAAGAAATGAGTGGTCAAACTGATTTGATCTGTATTAGCGAAGAAAAATTACTGAAGACCATTATCTCTATAAATCGGATACTCTCGAAATCCACCAAGGGATGTAATGTGACGTTGCAGCTCACTGTTATCTCCCACATTTGGTTAACGTGGATAACAACATTACTGTCCTGGAAGGTAGACCTCTAAAAATACCTTGTATCGCATACTGAAGGCATCTTATCGATTTAGATGCATCAGTAAACACTTCAGGAAACAATATTATAGAACTGATCAACTTACACCCATCAATTATGATTGACAGTGCTAGGTAAATTACCAAAGTTCGAAGTTTGAAGAAAATGTGAATATTAAAAGAATTATTCCATTTTATGTCGATCTTCAAAAAATAGCGTAGGGAACGTGAAATGTCACTGAGCCCTAGCCAAACAATCCGACAGTCGGTTCACTGAATGTCGAACAGTTCACCGAAACTCATCGAGGACAACAAACACGTAACAGTTAATTGCACACAATTGACTGGACCATGAAGCAATGGTCTTACTCTGTTCTTTGTACCTACTCTTACTAAAATATTTCTGTATTAACTTCCTTTGTGTTGTACAGTTATCAAAGCAGCCAGGTTGTAAGCAGTTGATGTAGAGAAAATTTTGAACCCTCTAATTGGACGAGATTCAGCATAATTATTTTGACCAATCAGTATCCAGATTTGTCGGCGTCCTTGGGAATCATTGGTTGTTAATTGATTACAGTATTTCTCATTGCTCTGCTGATTCAGAATATAACTATCCCTCCCGATCAATTGCAGCTACTACTAGATCGCCAGCAGCAGCGTTTCAGAGAAAGCCAGTTGAATGTTTTGGACTATTTGCGCACGCGACTGCTAGATCTCTCATGTTTCGGAGATGTGAAAGAGATTGACGAGTTAATTTCTCACTTGCATACTGAACTCGAGAATGACTGCAGGACATATGAAGATGAAAACAAAAGCCTCTATGAATCCCTTATGATCAGTAATGCAAACGAGGCAGTCGCTCATAATCCGTCCAGCGATCCGGGAATGTCCAGTCTAGAAGCATGCCCTGTTGTGGGTTCAAATCCCACTGTTCCTGAAACGTGTACAGACAGTGATGTACCTTGCTCACAGGAAGAAGATCTCTTATTAAATGCTCATAAATTAATTACAGTACCCTCTCACAAGAAAACAGGAAACAAGTCGTGCAGTATGCTGAGTCTAGCTGCTCCAAACGGTCCTCATCATTCAACAACAAGAGATTCTGACGAATCTTATTATCTAGATCCTCTTGTACCGGAAAATGTGTTAGATGCACCAAATGATGATCAGAAGCTTAATACAATTTTGATAGATGTTGATTATCTCAGTGATCAACTATCCACAAATGAGATTTTCAAGGAATTCTATGATAATGTTCCAGAAGAATCGAACGTTGATAACCTCATATCAAGCGCCGTTGGTCCGCACTACTTAATCACTTTTAGTGACTTCTCTGTTCCATGTGACAATTATGTGTTAAATAAAGTCAAATTAATTTTAACTTGGGGATATGAGGACCCAACATTATTTCGTGGGGGAGGATGAACGCAGAAAATTTTAAAATCCAGATATTAACTCCGGATCTTTTTTTTTAAAAAAAGGGGAGGTGTTAGGTAGTCGGAAAAATAGGCCAATAATTATCATGTTAAGTCCAATGGTGTCCTTGAACCTTAAATGTAAATTTCTTATTGGTCGATGTTTACTTCACTTGTTAAATATTGTACAAATGTTGTTTCCTATTTTATGGTACGATGTGGTATGCTTGATTAGTATATAAACAAAGTATGTTTGAAATATAATGATTCATATCTCAGAGGTTGTGGCTTGTGTTCTTGACTCAACTGGCTAGGACAGACAGCGAAGCAGGGCCAATCAGGGCACTAGGTCATCCTTACATGTTTGCGTGTCCACTGTCACCGAACCGATCGATAAATAAACGCTGCGTATCTAAAACCTGCAGTCACACCCGTTACAACATAAACCGATTGAAATCAAATGAATGAATGTCCGACTTCCTAATGGATTACAGAAGTCAGTCAAAAGTTCAATCTTGAAGCATTTAGTTAATTCTGACCACTCTACTTCACTAGAAGCCTTTTCTCAAATTATACATATAGTCCGAACAGTCTGCTCAAGAGGAATCCATATGGAAAACTTATATATAGCAGAAGCTATTGCTATTCACCAGTTCAGGCCTAACCTTTAAGTATAAAAGACAGTGTGTTCAGTCCATCATTCTTGTACGGCCTTAACCTTTATTTCTATCTTCTATAATCTATCTTTTTTAATTATTATTTCTAATTATTTTCACGTCTATTGATTAGTAGTTAGTAAAATTCTTAAAAGCTATCAAGTAAACAATTATGTTCACCTAAGCATTTTTCTAGTATAGGGGTTGTGGAGATTATTAAGTTTTTTTTTATTGAGATCATGAACCGATTAATGTTAGACCATCACAATTGAAAACCTGGAAGCACTGGACGGCCGTTTCGTCCTATTGTGGGACTCCTCAGCAGTGCGCATCCACGATCCCGCGAGCGGGATTCGAACCCAGAGCCTTCGGTCTCGTGCGCGAACGCTTAACCAACTGGACCACTGAGCCGGCATCCAATGGTGATAGTTTCTAACATCAACCAATCCACGAAATTGCGCGACCAACTTCCATTGTACTGAGGTAGATACCTGTCTCTACCCGACAAGGATTAGCTCCACTGATCACGGCTTCTCACTAGAACTACATACTACTACTTTAATGAATAAACTTAACTATAAATACAATTGTACAGTTCAAGTAAATGGAATCATTGAAAAGGAAATTTTCTTCGCTGAATTGCCTTCATTCGTTCATGATGTCATTCTGCCTAAATCAACGTTCTTGCTCTTCATGATGCCTTCCCTTTCTGATAATAATCATTATCTGCTCAATAGTGACTAGCTTTAAACGGTATTTCGTGGAGTTCTAGTGAGAAGCTGTGACCAGTCTGTTGTGAGATAACAACTCACTGAAGACAATGGTGTACGGTGGCGTAACTTCATGGATTGGTTGAAGTTAGACATTAAAACCGTTGGATGCTAGATCAGTGGTCTTGTGGTCAAGCGTTCTCATGCAAGACCGAAGGTCTTGAGTTCAAATCTCGCTAGCGCGGTTCTGGATACACACTGTTGTGAAGTCCCATATTATGACAACACGGCCTTACAGTGCTTCCGGGTTATCCATGGTAATCTAGCTTTAATCGACTTATGAATTCAACTATTAAATATCCTTTTGACTATATATATAAATCTGTTTTAAGACTTTTGATAGTAATGGCTTTGAAAAAAAAGCGATATTTTTGGATTTGTTTGCTTATTTATAATTTAAAATGATTTTGAACGTCACTCTGGAGTCCACGTAACTTTACTAACAGTTTTTCGGTAGTATATCGCCATCTGTTTATGCAATTTTCTTCTAGGATATTCACGTTATTTAACATCGAAATATTCAATCATGTGAAGATCAATTTTCATTGATGAGAACGTTTCTGACATTACGATTTAAAGTGTGTACATAGTTTTGTGTTTAAACAAATTATACAATTAATTCTAGGGCGTAAGAAGCTAAACAGAGATTCTATGGAAGGAATGAATTCACCTCTGTTTGACTTAGCCCTCAAATGCCCTGGTACGACCGACAATGGGGAGAGTCAGCTCTCCCTCTCGAAATGCTCTCACATGGCCACGCGTATATAGCATCTACCAGAGAAGTTCTACTCACTGCATTCTTGCAGAATTACTGTTGTTTACGAAATTGAGAGGACGAAAAGCGAATGTCTGGCCCTTTAACCTGGTTGGTGGGTATGCAGAATTCACCTTGAGGAGTTTGAAAACCGTGATTTCAAACCAATGGTGCACATGGGCTCTAGTATCCTGAAGAAACAAATGACGTATGAACCAATTATTGATCTCTGGCTACCATGATACTTCATCTCCTTACGTTGCTCCACTGCCTTATGGACTAGACTTTTAGGTCGAAGGCTGTTGGTGTGTCCCCCCTAAGTAAACCACCTGCTTCGGCCTAGGCACCCAGGCAGTATCACAGCCCTCACACATATCAAATGAGATCAGTGTGGCGCATATATATTTGGTGCCCCCTTTTACCAATATTTATGTGTTCAAATAAATAAATAAACTATTCGACTTAAATAAAATATTTTAGTTTACGAAGTTCAACAATGTTTAATCGAAAGTAGTTTAACAGTTACTCAATAAAATAAATCAGTAGTATTTCACATATTACTTAAAGAATAAAATCTGTATTATATAATGAATGTTTCACATTGGTGAAAGCTGACAATTAAACAACCATTCAATGAACAACGTCCGGATAGGTTAATTTATCTTATAATCCAAGTGTTATTATAATCACAATACAAACTACTATTGGTCAAGTCTTTCAACATATAAACTAAATTAATGAAACTTATTCATTAGTGATATCAAATACCTCAGCAACAACAACAACACCAACAACAACAACAAGAACAACAAATGTCAAGACTATTATCGCTTATTCTTCAACCTATTAGTATTGCATTTATTGTTTTAGGATTTTTAGTTGATCGTTGGGGATGTGGTCGATTACTTGATTCTTGTTTACATTATTATAAAACTGCTACAATCATGTTAATGTTATTCTTAATTATTGGTATGTCATTTTTAATTGTTGCATTTTCACTTGACTTAGCAACAATTGTCTCTTCATCATTAGATTTAAATGCAACATACAATTCTATTAAATTAATTTTATTACTTGTTGGTTTAATTGGAATATTTTCAGGTATTTTAATTTGTGCTGTTAAAATAGAACGAGATTATTCTCAATTAATATGTGTTATTGGTATTGTCATTGCTTGTCAAGTTGCTTTACTTAATTTATTTTTATATCCTTGTTTTTTCGAAAAGAAACCTAAAGTAATAGTAGCAGAAGAAGTAGCTAAGTAAATGAATATATATATATATATATATATGAGAATTAATATTCTCTGTTAGTTACTACCCCATCCCCACCCCCACCCCTCAACTCTTTTGTACGTTAGATTACATTTTATAAATTGTTTATTCCAGTATTTAAATTTTATTACTTACTTACTTACTTACTTACGCCTGTTACTCCTCGTGAAGGAGCATAGGCCGCTCACTAGCATTCTCCATTCAACCCAGTACTGGGCAATCCTTTCTAGCTCCGTTCAGTTGTAATTCATCGCTTTCATATCTGCTTCTATTATCCGACGCAATGTGTTCTTTGGCCTTACCAGAAAAAAAAATTTAAATTTTATTGTTTGAATTTATTTCCGTAACTATGTTTATCGATTTACTGTTTGTTCCCATGATGATGATTATTATGATCTTTTTCTTAATTTTCAAATGGAAAACAGATCCATAGCATTCTTGAATAATGTTAATTTAACTTACAATATAAATATTACTATAATTGACTTTTTTCTTATAATGGAATTATTTCGAAATGAATAGAAACTATTGAACATTACCAATATTGTTTTAATATCAGAAGGAGTTTTGTGGATATTATAGTAATTTTGATAGTTGAAAACATGAGTCAATGGTTAGGCGGTCGCGAGTAAGATTGATAGGTTTTGGGTTTAAATCTCATGAGGCGGTGGGATTGTAGATGCGCATTGCTGAGGATTCCCACAATAGGATGAAACGGTCGTCTAGTGTTTCCGGTTTTTCCATAGTGGTCTAGGTTCAAATGACTCATGATATCAACTATTAAAAATATTGTTTTAGTTCAGTATTACTCATTAGTTTATGTACTATGATAGTATTTTATCATGGATTGCTTGATAAATGTAACTCTGCCTGGGGCACCTCAGAAGCTACTGTTGGTCTCAAGCCCGGATGAAGGAAGAGGGTTAGCGACCCCATCTAGTAGGAAACTAACTCGCTAGAAAAACGCTAACCAGAAAAGCTTGAAAAGTGTAATATAGATAGTTTGATCCTGGTTTGTCTGTTGAATGAACACGTTTTTGTTGATTAGAACGTATTATATGAATGAATACTTGAATATGGTTTGAAACTGGCTAACAAATATATTCACTCTTAAAATGTTTACTGACGTATACATTGTCCGATTGGTTATATTTGATATAGACCAGGATATTCGATAATGTTTATTTGATATTTACTATTTCATCACCATACATCTCAGTCCTAGGATATGATGACTATGTAACAATGTCAATCAGATTCAAGCTTATCAAAACTTGACTAGCGATCTTAGTTACTTTTACATATGACAATCTATGGAAAAAAAATAGGAGTGTTACATCATGGAACAATGTTATCAAGGACAATCGCTTGTGTTTTAAGTACTGAATATAACTTATGTAATAGTCTTGGATGCAATAAGAAACAAAAATCTATAGAAGACAATGCTTACTTTAAGAATATAGAAATGATTTTAAAACAATAAGAGAATAAATGACATTAACTGTTTGTAAAAGTAAAGACAATTGGGAAATGGTAAAATAAGGGAGTGAATATAAATCTTTTTTACACAGAGGCCAGGTTTCAACTGGTTAGTTGGGATAGCTTTAGCTTTTTTGAACCAGTTGTTTTACTCCATAGATATTCCTCAACAATGATTATCGAGGAGGTATGTGGCTAGAGTTCATCATATGTTTAAGGATTAAACTGTTGTCTGGCTTACGTTCACCTTTAGGAATCCACACATTAAAGAGCTTTAATACACATATCCACTTTTATTTAGGTTAACCACTATGACAGTCTGCATAACCATCATTCTTTGATTGTAAAATTTATTAAATGTAATCTTATAATCCCATATAACATTTTGACAAATTCCCCATAGTGGAAAATAAACATTGTCGATATCAACACTTAGATTTGCTTGGTGTCCTGTTTTTCTTTTTTACCTTTAGTTATCCTAAGTAATAGTAAACACTCTATTAACACCTGAAGTGATCAATAAAAACTCAGAGTAGACTCAAGGCTGTTAGTACTTTTTGACACATTATTGGTTTAGCACATGGATAAAATCATTAAAGTTGGTATCCTGATAAGCAATTTTGTCACGTGACATTCGACGAACCACAGAAAATAATATCACTGATAGAAATAACTGAGGAAGATCATTGAGATCCTTGAGTAAATGGTTTCATAACATTTAATTCAGTGTAATGATTTCTGTCAATTCGGCATCAAGCTATACGTAGATTAACAACGTAAGAATAGAAGGACGTGGTTTTGTGTTCTCACATATAACCAAACCAGCGCATAATTTGGATTGCTTATTGAAGATTAAAATATAAACTGATAGAAATCTGTATTACCAAAAGTTTACATATTGTATCAGCAAGTTGATTAGTAATGAAATCAATTTAGTTACAATAGAGTTAATATTAAAGAGTAAACACTAAAGAATATGAATATTTACTGAATTACACCTGTTTTCCATCATGGAGAAGTATAGGCAGCCCACCAGCATTCTCTATCCAACTCTGTCCTGAGCAATGCTTTCCAATTGTTTCCAGTTCTTATTCATCCTTTTCATATCTGCTTCTATTTCCGGACGTAGTGTGTTGTTTGGCCTACATCTTTTCCATTTCCCTTCAGAATTTCAAGTTAGGGTTTGCCTCGTGTTGTAGTTTGATGATTTCTTCAATGTATGTCCTATCCACTTCCAACAAAGACTATGATTAAAAACGAATAAAAAGAAAATCGGAGAATCAAAAGTATTCAATAATAATAAATTAAAGTAGTATATTTGCATCACTTGATTCATGTTAACCTAAATTTCTGAATATTTGTAATAGTTACAATTGGAACCTTAAATATGTTCACCATTTTTGCTTCTTCGATAATAGCTCGTTTTGTATACACATCTCAAACTTTGATCATTGACCGATAAACTAGAACAAACATTCACCAAATGTGAACATTTTTCTATTTACCCGTTCACCTTTTTAGTTAACATCACACACAAGAACAAATGAATGTTTTATCCAGATTACAGCCTACCAAATTCTATTCACAGTTGGAGATTACACAAAATGTAACATAAACTTTTCATGACCTTCCCAACTACACGTAATCAGCATAAAACATGATGCGATTTCAAATGAATTTACATTAATGCAGTAGCTATCATTGGTAAATCTTGTGTGACAATTCAGAGTAGATTTCAGTTATTAGTTGAATGCTTGAAGAATGATGGAAATGGAGAGGGTAATTCTGGAGTCACATGGAGAATGAATGTGATAGAACTAATTGCATTAGGTTCTCATCAAACGTCACAATTTGAAAGGAAAATAAAATGTTGTTGTTGTTTTGGTATATTCTATCGAAATCAACTCCATTAAAGAAATGAGTAGTCAAACTGATTTGATCTTGTAGATCACCAACGTAGATGGTCTATGTCGAAATGATTGGAGGCCTACTCGAGTTAGACGTGAATAGTGTGACGAACCAACTAACGTCGAAGTCACACCTCGTGGTCAGCACCTTACGTGGACTACCCCGATTGACGTAACAAGGTACTATAGATGCTTTGAAGACTGTACAACACAAAGGACGTTATTACAGAAATATATTAGTTAAAGTAGATACAAGCGAAAGTAAGACCACTGCCGCATGGGCCAGTCCATGGCGTATGATTAACTAATGCGCGTTTCTTGTACATGACCTTGGCAGGGAGCGATGATCTGTTCGACATTCAGTGATCCAACTGCCGGATGATTTGGCTAGGGCTCAGTGACATTTCACTGGCCCTACAATATGTATTAGCGAAGAAAAATTACTGAAGACCATTATCTCCATTGATCTGTTAATCTTATAATCACTTTGATTCATATTAACCTGAATTTCCAACAATATGTGATGATTACAATTTGAACATTGAATCTGGTCATTAATATATTTATTGACGGAGATAAATACAAGTTAATTACCGTTCTTGGAAACACTTTTTGTTTATACATAATTTATGAAAAATCACAATTTAATTGTCTAGGAAACATGAATTGTGTCGGAGTTTAGTAATATTTTGTATTAGAAATACTAAACTGTTGAAAAAGGCAACAATATGATGGTAAATTACACAACCATCTTTATAATTCCATTATGTAGTTGATTAGGTATACACCGGTCGGATGATAATATTGACTCTACTATTAGAATCATTAGAATGGAATGTTGTAATTAGAAAGAATAACCATTTTACAGACTTTTTTTTTCAATAAAAAGAGCAATTCAGTTCATTAAATACCATAACACAACATAATTAATTAGAAATATCTTCAATTAAAATACTTGGTACTTAGTTATTCTTTATCTCTCTCTGTCTTGTTGTTACTGAGAGTTAATGAGATTGACGATCAATAAAATCAATTATACTGTAGAAGTCTAAGTATAAACATTCGGACATATATTTATTTTGAATAATAACAAGGTAATGACATTGTAGTGAACGTGAACACAAATTGGGAACAAGTGAATATATTTGAATACAACATAACAGAATCTGTTAGTAAATATTTCATTTGCAAAATATCAGTCGATCGTCTCACACTTCATTGTTTCTTCGTTTTCATACCAATTATTCTCTGCTCTCATTCTCTTTTCTTTGATCTTCTTAACTTTCTGACTCCAGGTATTTTACTTTCGATTGATGATACATACTACTCATATCTATCGACATCAGTAGCACACACTTAAGTAAGACTAACAAATGGTGAGATAATAATCCTGAAGAAATACATGTACTATAAAGTTGAAAGCTATTTTTTCTCTTAATGAGTCCGGAATTCTAACTGAGGATAATTTATTTTAATAAAGATTTACACCATTTAGTAAAATTGTTTAATCGATTGTTTCATTAGTTGAGGTCATGGGACAATTAAAGCTAGACCACCATGGAAATCCTGCAAGCACCGAACGGCCGTTTCATCCTATTGTGGGACTCCTTAGCCTCTCGAGACTTGAAGTT